CTCTCCTTCGCCACAAACACAAACACACTGTGCAAAAGGAGTAACAATGTTCAGGAAAAGTATAAATTACCACAAAAACAAAGCCACAAGCAGAAGGAAAACAGGCAGATTACAGAGCCATGTCACTTTACCAAAAGACAAATGGTAATTTGACAGTCCCCGTGGGCCTCTTTTTGCACAGGATGGAGGGTCTTTGGCCCTGTTCCGTGTCTGAGTTGGCTGATGCACCAGGCTCCGAGTCTGGGACACATGGTTGGCTCTGTACACTGAACTGGGAAATCTACTAACATTCTAATCAATAATAAAAATAATGAACACTAACAAACAGTTTTGTTCTGGCATTGAACTGGGTTTTGAAGTCAATCCCACCAACCCCCACTGACTCCCTAGCTTTAATTAACAGCTACATAAAACGGTCATCTTTTTGGGGAAAAAAAAGGTAATAAAATGTGGCCACTGTGTTCGTTTGGGTATAAAAAAAATTACAACAACATGGAAGGCCAGCAAGTGGTCCAGTCATTTCCAGAAACGTGAGTAAACTCAGTGTGCACAAGAAAGGGAGGGTTGACCGTTGGCAGTTTGAAGAGAAGAAGTGGATCTGAACCCTCAGATATGCTGCTTTGAGGATTCGCAATAATAAGCAGGACATTCTCTTGATTTCCCCTTCAACTAAGGTTATACTTCACTTCCCCTGCTAGCAATTAGTTTCCAGAATGCTATTTGTCAAAAGCCAAGGTATTTATTTCCACTGGTCTGCACCCACCAGCTCTTGTTACAATTAACTGTTTCCTGCACAGGGAAAATTTAAGCCCTTGGAGAAAGAAGCAGGCCCTGCAGCTGGCCAAGAACAGTTTGGCAATGTGTAGAGCTATAGACCGTTCAGTAAAGATGTGAATCAGACGATAAATGTGGCGTAAACCAATCAGAAATCTGCCACCGCAAGCACCTCCTGCCTCTGTATCTTGAGACACAGCACATTTAAAAATGTTTCATAATGGAAACAATTTCTTTATGCATTTGGGAGTCGGAGCAATGCAGAAAATAGGTCAATCACCGAATGACATCTATTGATTTTTAGTGCAAGATCTGATGAAATGAAGCTGAAGTAAACAAATACAATGAAAGAAGATACTCAATAAAGTAATGAGATCTAGACTGGCTTACACGACCATGAAATGGAGCTACACAAAACCCTTGAGGCCTAACACCTATAGGACACGCTGTCATTTTTCTTCTCGATTGCAGATGAGGCACTTGGGTACTTAACTGGCTCCTAGTCAGGTAGAAAACCTATTGTATCTAGGTTACAGGGGATGTGAAGAGCCATCAAACTGCCAGACATTTTCTTGGTGAATCACTGACAGAAGGAACTTTTGAGAGTGTAATTAACAACCTCAAGGTCAGACTTCTCTGGAGAGCTCTAAAAAAAAATCCCCCTCTCTCTCCTCGCTTGTTCGCTGTTGTCCTTACAGTTACACAGTCTGACATATTCTCTCTCTCATCTCCTAAACCCTCTTCTCCTCCAACACACATGTATTTCCTTCATTCCTTGTTAGTCCCATGCCCCCTTTCAAGAATCCCACCAAGCCTCCTGCCACCATCCTTCTCCCCCTTTGTCTCTATTACAGATAAACATTGCTTTGTGGTCAGTGATGACACCATTTCTTCCCCAGTGCTGGAGCAAGGCTTACAATTGGTTGCAGGTGTGCATAGGATGGCAGCCATAAATCTTAATTTTCAGCCAATAATGTGAGTGTGCAATGAATATGTCACTATAAGGATATCTGAGAAAAGAGCTCAGAGTCCTACCTGCTCCTAAGATGTGGCAAGAACAAACTTTCTATGTTCTTGATTGTGTGCTCTTTATAAATGGAGCTGACACTGATTTTTTTTTAAGTCTGGTTTTGTAGTGGATTTGATTTAGCACTTGACAAGATCAATAGATCTTTGTATTTGGAGTACGAGACTTTGAAGTGCTTTACACAAAATAATTAGATGTCAGGTCTGTGCTGTTGGCTACAAATGGGACTTTTCATTAATACATAAAAAAAAGCCTGGGTTAATAAGAAGGGATGAAGTTACTGAACTTTAACTGAGGATATTTAAGCGTGGTTCCTAACTTCTAATGGTGAAAACTCTCCGATGCCACACTGGAGGGCAGGCTAATGGTTAAGGTGTGAACCACATAATGCATTTTTCCACCATGGGAACTTAAACAATAACCTCGAGCTTCCCATATCTGTAATGCAGCGTAACTTGAAGTGCTGAAGCGGCCTGTTCCACCATATTTGTCCTGTGTCTGCCACTGTTTGCACAAGCGCGGGGCTGCGCTCTTCACACACACACACACACACAGCTGAGCAGAGAACATCAAGTCAAGGACCACAATGCTCATTAATCTTGTGTTCTACAAAATCTGCTGGTAATGGAGAGTGTTTCAGCAGTTTAGCAAACAGCTGCTGAACAGGTAGAACACAAGTTGCAGAAATGTGAGGTCTTTTGCCGCTTTGCCCATTCCATTACAGGTCAGTACCTTCCTACTCTGGAAATGCCTTAATAACTGCAGCATCCATGGATAGATTTCCGCAGCAGACATTTGTTACAGGCCCAACCCATCTACCATGTTTTCAATCTCTCTCTACACATTAATTGTCAAATAAAGGTAAAATCAAAAATTTTTAAAAAAGGCATACATTGACACATTCCTGTTGAAGGCTTTGCTATGGAGACAGTTTGGGTAGTTAGAGAAATTCTGAGAATATATGTCCATACCACTGACATATATACGATGGACATGGTTGTCATCACTTCCCTCCACTATGCAAAACTGAAGCCAAAATACTGAGTATGGAGGCTGCCGTCTTGATTTTTTGCAACAAGATTCTGCATAGTAGTGACCAGGAGTGGAGTGACAGCATCAAACCGCCAAATCAACAGAAATACACCTCTTTTTATATAATCAAAAAAACTTCAAAACAAACATACCAAAAAGACCATTTATGACCTATACTGCAACCAGTCACCAGGATGCGATCGACTTTCGGTTATCTCACTTACATACCAATAACTGAAAAGATGTGAAGTTTCTTTAATGGTCATGGTTTGTCTTAAACATTATATCAGGATGACAACATGGTGAAGGTAATTCTGATTTACACTGGTCAGCTACAACATTAAAACCACCTGCCTAATATTGTGTAGGTCGCCCTCTTAAATGGTCCAATTCAGAGGATAAACGCAAATTTGGTTTAATAGGCGACTTTCCTTGAGTAAGACAACAAGCTGGACTTGTGCAAGACAAAATGTGTGAATAAATCAATAAGACATTTCACCACATAAATATCAATTACTGCAATCCCTATGCAAGGAGGTAATTATAGTGGGAAGAGTATAAAACATTTGTCTAACCCATGGGATAGCCTACATTTAAAAACAGATTTTTCTTCTTAATGGGCAACAAGAGTGTTATGGTTCCCTTTCTAAAACATGTCCTGTTACCTTTTGTCTCATTACCCCTGACAAAGAGAGAACCAAATCAATAATTCATCAGAAAATACGTATTAAATTTAAAGCATGGTTTAGGATGCTGTGATAAAGCTGCACAAATGGGGGCTTTAACTGTATTTTTCAGCAGGTTGCCATCGATTCGGCTCCTCCAGCAGCATGTGACAACCAAGAAAGAAGAGTGATGTTCAATAACAGCACTCTCTTTTGCAAGGTATTCGTGCTTCACATTTAATAGTGAAAGAGTACTGTTTCTTCATTAGATGGCAATTCAATGTCACATACTGCCGCCTATTAACATTTAATTGACCTATTGTGGACCAGTTCAGTGGTGGGTTATGCCGACTAGAGATGAAACAATATGAAAAAAACCCCTTGAGGTCAAGGACCTCTTTTACAAGGGTGTCCGGGCATAAAATTGACCGAAATACCAGGAGTATAGTGCTTCTGCTGCTTCATAACAAATTCAAAAACAAACAAAATCATTTCTGGATGAGGGTCCATCAGTAATTGTTTCATTCCCATCACCAGCTATTGCCCAAGTTATTGTATGCAATGGGCAAACAGAGTCTGCAGACACACATCGCATACAGCAGCCAAACAATGTGTGTAGTGTTTTTACAAGTGTAAGTATCACTGAAAGTTTCTGTTTATATTAATGACAAGCTGTCAGCAAGTTGCACAGGCCAACCGTGACACTTCCAAAGTCCCCACATCTTACATGGATATAAAAGTCAATTGAAAGTGTTTCCCCCTTCTGCACCACTTTTCTTTGTGCAGGTCTGCATGTTCTGATCAGTGAATCTGTGAGGGGATGTGCTTATGCATCATAACATAAACTGTTCATTTGTACAGGGCAGAATCAGGTGGATTATGAACCCCACTTTCAATACAACATGAAATCATATCCCTCTGCTGTTCTCCTGCACAAATTTTAAGCATAGCTAAAACAATACAGTATGCATCGGTCTATGGCGTCTTTGCTATGGAGCAGGAAAGACATGGAAGAGGGTAACCGATGCTGTTTACAGTGGCAGTTGACTCTCATGCCCTTGAGTTTGGGTTGCACCACTTATACAAATTGGGAAACCACCAGTAGCATTCCATTTAAATAACTATAACCATAATTGGTTCAGAAACACAACCCTTCAATTGTTAGGCCATTACATTCGGGGACTAACTAAATTGTCGCAGGGAATTAAGAGCACATTTATTCCAACATGCAGACACCATTAATGTGCAGTATAACATCTATAATGGAATATCATAAAATCAAAACGTAACAGAGTAAAACTGGATTCCTGTCAAATTCCACTGCATTCAGTGGGCGGCCAAAATGGCTTCACAGGATGCCAGCCCACATGTACTCTGTCCTGGTCATGAGATGATATATCTATCTCATAACCTTCAATGAACTTGAGTCCTAGCCAAACTCACTCTAGGACAGGAGTCAGTCTAACTGTTAAAAAAAAACTAACATGCACACACAGTACTACCTAGGATGAGGGACATCGATGCTGGAGGAGACCACTTTGCGCTTCTGCTCTAGCAGGGACACAGATCGGGGATCGGGGTCCCGACCAACGCGCTTGCCATCGACCGCCCGCTGGTCCTCCAACGCCTCTGGGCTGAGGGAGCCGCCCTCCGCCTTCTGCCCCTCTGGAGCCCCGTTACTAGAGCTCTGCTGAAGAGGGACACAAAGAGCAATAATCAGTGTTGGGTAGAGAACCAAATACACAAGTTAGTAACAGTGATTACGTAGGAATGAGCCACAAACACTGATGCAAGTTGGAAACCAAACTTCTTTTGTAAAGGCCTGAGGTGATGAACATGCCATACATTTATTTCTGCTGGATATAAGATGGCGTTCCATTTAACTGACCTGTTATAAACATTGATAAGGTGTATAAAAACTATTTTTCTCATAAAACAAAACAGAAAATTGACAAAATAAATAAAATCTTGTGATTTTAAGGACAGGATATTATCATCTGTGCATTAGCTACTAAAGGGATAAGGACAGTGATTTTCTGTTTTTGTTAATTTCACAAATCCCACACAGAGATTAAAAACAACAATGATTTTAGTGGTCCCACCGTAATTTCCAATGAACCCAGCCCCTCATTTAGCTTCCATTGTTGTCCAAATGCTATTAAAAACACACCAGTCAGCCACATATTTCGTTCTCACAAAAAAAAAAAAACATTGGGAAGCCAAGATAATTTGAGTTGGATAAGAAGCTAGCTAATAGTACAAACAGAGCTGATTCTTCCTTACTTCAGGGACTGTACAGTGTAATGGCTGTTTTTTGGAGTTCTTTTCGTGACTTCGTGATAAAGATCCATGTCACCCAGTGCAGCAGAATGGCTCACTGGTGCATTTTGAAATCGTTTCTGGACAACACTGGAGGTCTGCAGCACATACATATTGACTAAATAAGTGTTTAGATTAACAGACATGAATGAGTGAGTGCATTCATCTCACTGTTTCACTGATTCTAGTGTAACTAGCACAAACTGTGCTTCTGTAAGTTATCTGTGTCAGGTTTGGGAGCTTAGGTGCTGAGGAGGCAGAAATATAAATGATCTTATTCTGGTGATTTTTGATGAAGGCAACATATTCTTGCACCACACACACACCAACATAAACTACTCACGCTAACACACCGTCACAAAAGAAAAGCACTTCTCCCATCACAATAACACTTGCCTATAACAATGTAAAATAATTAAATAAAATTAAAAAAAAACAGCCCAACATATTCTCTTCTCTTACACAACAGCAACAAATAGCATGCTTCTCCACGTGGATACCTGCATGCACCCACACACGCACGCACACACTGCATCTCTGTAGGTATCGAAAGCCATCGGGTCCTTAGAAACACACTGAGAATAGGCCAAAACAGCCAGACTGACACACCCATTCCTCTTATGCAACAGAGTACTGAGGAGTATGACATGCAAGCCAGTGTGTGTGCGAGAGAGAGATCTTGATCTAATTATCTCAGAGCAATGTAACACAATTAGACTTTACTGTGGAAAAGGCAATGGCACACTTGTCAGTCACTTACACATACAGTAGAAGCATGCACACACACACACACACACACACACACACACACACTCACAAACGGCAAGGAGACAATTTTTTAAACAGGTAAAAAAAAAAAAGAAAGAGAAATTAGTATCAGGTTTCACCCATGATAGGAGCTTTTCACACAAAGGCTCAGTCATGCACAAAACACACAGACTTAAGTAAAGCAACAAGATGGATTACGCTGGCTCGGGGAAGATTAGGTGCTGTGTGTATGACTGTGTGTATGACTGAGTGTACTCCTCGGACAAAACCAACAGCAATTCCTTTCTTTAGCCAGACTTATGAATGTTGGCATTTCACAGAGCTAGGAAACTGTGAAACATCCCAAATGTGAATTGCAAGCTGCATGTGTCAAAGATGGTGTGTATACGTGCATGAGTGTGTGCATGCATGAACAGAACAAATAACGCCCCCCCCCCATCTCTCCTCCTTCTCTCTACCATTCACAAACACACACAGAATCTCAGAACCTTCTTGTTTTGGGCTGTAGTTTGTCAGGCATAAAGAAATTTGTAGTTTTGTGGATGAAAGGTCATTTTAAATCAGGCTGACAGGGAACATAAACTGAATCCCTAATAAAGTTATTCTGCATGTGTGATAAACTGTATTTGTGTGTTCATAGCACATACAGTATTACATGTAAATAAATGCATAACCTCCTTTGGCCTAAAAGCTCGTTCAGGCTTTCTGTATCCACATGTTATACATTGCATCATCTACCCAAATCTGTGGAGTGTGCACAGATATTCAGTGGAGCCCAAAGATTTGTGTATGTCCAGACTGTCCACAGTGCAAGTACACTGACGCTTGTACCAGACAAGTAAAATGGCCACTCATTCCATGCACTTTTTGGATTTACTCTTTACTTCCCACCTTTGTTGCTATTCTTGCTAAGAGATTGGACGCACTTTTCTTTGACTTCTTCGTGTTGTTCAGCCATATACAACAATCAAATCATGTGTGGATGTGTCCGAGTACGCATACCCTCCAAATGTAGCATGAATATAAAGCACGTCTGTCCAAGGGCAAACGAAAACCATGAATTGACCTTGAGAGATTACTCGTACATCATCGCAGGCACGGCAGCATCTAGACTTGACCCTGTGGCCACTCTGCTTCATGCCGATGTTGCTCAGTCAACCAATAAGGACAACCAACTCCAGCCCGCCTGGGTTCACTGCTTCAGAACAAAGAGTCACTCAGCTCTTGTCAACAAGTTTGCTTCACTGACTCCCACCTCAGCTTACAAACAACAGGAAAGACAATCAATGTGCCAGCAAAATAAAAACAAGTAACAACGAGAAATCTGGGTAACATCCCTTACACAATAGACACTTTCACAAACCAACGAGTCAACAAGTGTCATCCTTCTTTCCCACCCCCAGAACAGGGGGCATTCATTTGCCATACCAGGCAACGAGCCAAGCATCCAGATTCTTTGGAGCATGCCACCCGTTGCCAACCTGGGGGTGCCTGCTTTGTTGGCTGTACAGCTGCTGCTCAAATGGGGCAGCATAGCCTCACAAACAACCCCCACTGCAAATTATAAGTAGTCAGCCCTCACTCATTAAACACACAAATATAAATTCGGGAGAAAGCACATCCATGTTAGTGCACACAAAAAAGTAACACAGATGCACATGTGAAACCAATCTCACACACACACACACACAAAGCAGACTCCTCCTCCTCGTTTTATGGCTTGTTTTCAACCTCACTGGGAATTGAGTTGTGCTGAAAGAGACTTAACCATTGTGCTGACAGAACTAAGTTCTCAGCCTCGGCCGCACTACTCCAGCCTGCACCGGTGACTGTAACGGTATTGTGCAACAGTTTTTGTGAATGCAGCACTGCATACAAATGTGCAAATGCAAAACAAGAGAACCCATGTTTATGTTCCTCCAGCACAAAAAGCCCTGACAAGTGTCCAGACTGAGCTGTTGCATATGTGGTAGTAAACAATGTCCAAACATTACTGTTTCACTTGCAAAAATAAGACTTAAGATGACAGCCTGTAAGTTAGTTCAATAACATATCAAAACACAAAAGACATGAATGCATGGAGCCACAAAGCCACACCAATAAAAATGAATAAAATAAATAAATAAATCAGTCCATAAACAAGCCCCTGTTCAGTATTGCATTCCTCAGTCACTCCCTCATTAGAAAAACGGCAGAACACGCGCGTGCACACACGCACACTACCCTTATGCCTAAAACTGTTCGTGGCCTCTCTTCCCCATACATTCTTTATCTGAAACCATGAGACACCAAAAGCATACAAGTTGGATATGAAGGCAAATGGGTCACTGCTAATTAGGTCAATATCACGACTACCAAGTTGGACATGGAAACTTCATGTTCTGCCTCTAATGCCACATTATCTATCTTTGACTGTTGTTAAACAGTAACTGCCATGTGCCGGATGAGTTCACATACATGTATTAACCATTATTTAAATGGGCGACAAGATGCATCATCTAAAAAAAAGCCCAAAGTATAATACAATCTCTGAATGCAAATGTGCTATTAAAGGCAGGGTGCACAATGATATCTGCATCTAATTTGCCACATAAATCAAAAGTCTATGTGCAAAAACCTCGGACCAGCTCTTTGCAGCAGTCCAAAACGCTGCAGTCGGAGCGTGTTTGTTTGCCTCGGCTTACCCACCCACTGGACTACATAAACATTGCACAGGCCCTGTCAAGCCCTTTGTCCCATATATTGCATGTCGCCAAACGTCATGACAACCAGTTTTTTGATGCAATATGCATCCAAGTCGGTATCGTGGCTTTTCAGAAGGATGCTGGTTTTGTCCCAGCTGATTAAATTTGCCATCAGCGGCGGCAATGACACCGTTAAATCCGCTCCGTGCAGGAAGCGGTTAAACGCTGCAAAACACTGCACAACAAAAACAGTGAAGCGCTCCTGCCGGCCGGGGCGCTTTGCGCACACGCACACACCTTCAGGCTGGACTTGAGCGGTCCTTTGGCTGCAGTGTGGTTGAACCCCGCCGATATCTCCTCCTCGGAGAACTCCTTGAGGCTCCCGTCTTGCATGAGCACGGTGTAGACGCTGCGTCGAGCTCCTGCGGCCGAGACGTCTCTGTTTTCCTGCTTGACAGCCTGGACCACTCCTGTCACCGGGGTTCCTTCCCCAGTCGGACTCGGGGCATAAACGCGGCTACCGAGGATCGACCGCTTCACCAGACGCCTCGTATGCATGTCTAAAAGGGTCTCGCTGAATTCAGATCCGGCGAACTAGTGAATTAAACTCATTAAACGTCGAATTAAAACCGGTAAACAAAGTCGAGAAAAAAACAAAACCGCAGCGGGTAGACTACGCGCTCGAACAGCCTTGACAAAATGAAAGAAAGCGGCAACATACTCGGAGGGCGAAAACTCCAAACAGCGTCCGAAATGCACCGTCTTCAGAAGCACCGAAAACAGAAGAACTCCGAATTAGCACCGTTCAAATCCTACAACATCCCGACAATTCATTCGCCGCTAAACAACCTCTACATCCAACCGGCTACCAATCTTCCTCCGTTCGACCTGTTTGTTTTCCCCACTGCTCCGTGTGAGCTGAGTGGCCGGCGGGAAAACACGGAATAACCTCCACGTTCAGGAACCGAAATGACATGTATACACGTTTTAACAAAATGGCGGCTTATCCGTGAAAATACGCGCACATAGACATTCTGAAGCAAATACGTCGAACTATCTTACTTCGCTAGTCCCTATTTATTGCTGTTCCACCGTAGATGTTGAAAATGGTTGAAAATACGGCCGTGAGATGACTCCAGCTCCGGCTACTGGGATATCCAGTCCGCATGTGGCTCCGACCCAGCACAGTCTCTACCGGCGGAATGCTGCCTGTAAACATGTGCGGTCCGGCGGCCTAGGCAGGCTGCGATTGGCCCGCGCAGCACACGCCTCCACAAGGCCCCACCGCTCGCCCTTCTTCACCGACGGAAGGTAAGGCAAGCCTGGAGGATGCTCCATTCAAAACAATGACGCAAGGATGTAGAGGAAACCAAAAGGGAGGGAGTATGGTATAAGGAAAGAAGGGGAATTTAGGCTATGGAAACAAAAATTTTGAGAGCAGACAAAGGGGCTTTGTAACCTAGTTGTTATAGGCCTGTAGCCTAGTTTTCAGGTGCCATGGGACTTCTAATATGATGTGGTTTTAAAGTGAAATTAATGGACTGCACCAGTCTGTTTTTGTGTATGTAAACACAACAGGTTATTTAATATCTTATGATATTTTCATTATTTAACATGAGTTATAAAGTCAACATGCTCCAACATCAAATCATCAATCTGCCAAGTCAAAAGCCAACTAAATATAACTCTGCTCCATCAGATAATTTAGACAATGCAATAAAGTGCATGAAATAATAAATGTTGCTAGGTTTTGTGCAAATGTTTATGAAAATGCTACTTTTTATGCTAGACCCACAGGTCAGCCTTGCCAGAAATGCAGTGATGCTTAAACCCACAAGTTAATAATAAGAACGAGGCAGCAGCGATATCATTTCTTATCTTGTGCTCCTCTTTACAACAATCCATATGCAGCAGCAACACTCACAGGTGAATAACACTCTCATGTAAGCTACATCTTATAAAAACCTAAAGTGTGAACTCACAATGTGACAGAAGTTGTTGCTTTGTGAGAAAAAACAGATATCTGATAAATGCATCACCTTCTATAAGAAAGTTCACAGTGCTTTTATAAATCAACTTTTAACAGGAGACCAAATCATCCATTGTAATTATCACCCAGTGCGGCAGGGACAACAGACCGAAGAATATTATCACTGAAACAAATGGCCTAATTAATGTCAAAATCATGAGCAGCTTAAAGACTTTTTACAAGACAGTGCCCCAGTGAATAAAAAGACACAATGACACATTTTATTATATATATTTAATAGAACATTCATGTCATGAAATATTTACATGCAGAGAAGGGAAACTGGGCAGAGTGGAGTGACAGATGTGGCCATAACTGCCAAACAGGCTTTGCCCTATGATCAAAGGCGTGTGTCCCAGTTGTCTGCTGGTTGTAGGGGGGACAAATGATCTCATTAAGGGAGTGGTGGAGGTGAAGCAGCAAGGGGGCATCTATAGCCATTGTGTTTATATGACCAAGAGAGACAGCTAGAGAGAATAAGTGAATTGGGAAGAGTTCTATTAACATTGTGTGTGTGTGTGTGTGTGTGTGTGTTGTCCTGATTAGATTTGGCACTAAAACATCCCCCTTTGGCGAATCATTTCCTTAGAGGTCATTTATAGCATTCTGTGAACACTATTATATCTAAATGATGGCACCACCACGTCACTTGGTAGCAACCATGTACTCATTTTTTTGGAAGTGTAAATAACACTAATAATTACCTCTTTACAGCAATTAATCTAATTGCTGAGGGTTTTACTTGTCTGTGGATTATATGTAAAATCATCTTTGCTGTTGCATTGATGGGAGATGTAACAGCCTTTCAAATATCTCATATCATTTATGAATCTAATACTAGTCAGTGAGGGCTGCCTCTGTTTGCGTGAACCACCAACAAGCTCCTACATGTCCAATGAAATGAACGAGGGCTGGAGAGACTGTAATGCTATAATATTTTGATGTGGGTGGAAAAAGATGATACCAATTTTTCTGGAACGGGGGACTGTACTGTAGCAATGAAAAAGATATTTACAGCAAAAAGCATCTGCCCTCTTAATTTTAAAGTAAACATTAAACAACATTTATACAATTAAGTGTCTTAAATAAAAGTACCACATTTTTCCTTAATATGCATGTACAAAAACACTGTACCATTTTTTCTGACATTTAATTGGCTGCTACTCAAAAGCTACTTTGACAACTCTGAGTTTCATTACAAGGCAAGAGTTTCAGTTTTCCTTCAAACAAGGCAGACATACAAACGGGTGACATATCAAAGGAAAACCCAGCACATGCCACAAGAACAGCTTCAGTGCTCCTTGGCACTGACTAAGTCTCTGAGCTGTACTGCAGGGATGAACACCATTCTTCCAAAAGATATTCCCTCATTTGGTGTTTTGATTACGGTGGTGGAGACACTGTCTAACGCATTGCTCCAAAATCTCCCACAGGAGTTGAAATCTTCCAACTGGGTTGAAATCTGGTGACCGCAAAGGTCACAGCATATGATTCACATCATTTTCATACTCATCAAACCATTCAGTGGTTTCTATGGATCGAGGCATTGTCATCTTGGAAGAGACCATTCATCTATTCAGGTCTATCCTTTAACTTATCACCCGTCTATAGATCAGTGCTCTTAACAGAATTTACAGACTAAACAAATGTCACTCAAAACATTGTACAAACAAACAAAACTTCCAAAGAGTAACAGTTGGTTAAAATAGTGCTCTAACAATATATAAGCCATGGTTGGCATGTCATCAGTACAGGCTACATACAGACAGATATGTTTTTCTGCTGTCTGCTACTATTCAGTTAAAAGCATTACATATGCAGCTTGTGCAGGGATGCTACTGATTTGTGATTATGCTTCTGTTAAGTTGTGTATAAGTGCAGTACCATAATATTAAACAATGTGCTTTAGTCTTCGGTGAGTCCAGCTGAGGCCGGTATCCTGTACCATGATTAGGCTCAAAAACCAAGAAATTAATAATACAATTTCATTGTCTCCTTTTTATACATACAAACATTTGACGTGTAATGAGTTTGTTTGGACCCTGTGCAAAATGACAAATAAGAAGAAAATATTATCTCATCATGTGCATTTTTTTAAGTCAGGGGAACATGTACCTTTGCAATTGTCATTTACTCACTTCCATTTAGTATCTCATTAAAATGCTAGAAACTTCTATAAAACCCTATTTAACCTTCAGTCACAGATGCACTCTGTAACATTTCACAATTACACAACTGTATGCATCTTAAAAATAAATATGAATCTCCCAAAAATGCTGACAAGGACCGTAAAAAAAACCTTAAACTGCTTTGATACTGTATTGTGAACTCACAAACTTGTGTGAACCCACGGTCTTTCCCTCACCCCTTGTTTTCATTTGGATTCTGCAGATTTCCTGGCCAGTAACATGCTGAGCTCACATGTTTGAAAAGTACAATACAATTCCAACAAAAGGGCACATACAGTATGCAGCAGTCAAGAAGTTATCAATTCTATTTGATGACATAATCTATCAAATGCAATGTTTGTCTTCACTAATCATTTAATAGCGGATAAGACTGATGTTTGCTTTCCATTCCAAAAATTAATTCACAGGATTTTCAAGATGAGAACGTGCCTGATAAGGAACAGCCTAGAAATAAACCCACTGACACCTCAGTAAAACGTGACACTGAGTCACCTCGAAGAAGCTAGAAAGTCTCTAGCAGCTTCAAAGGGAGCATACAAATAATGTTTCCTTCATATGAACAGTATGTGCATGAAGTTCATGCACTGAATTCTGGGAGTCTTTTAAATCACAGGCAGTGATATTGTCTTCAGCTAGTTCTTGAAATGGCGGGTGTGAGTTGCATTTGGATATTTATTTGATATTTTTTCACAAGCGTTGTTAAATGCAGTCATGATATACACTGTCAGCACACACATGAATTTCATGATGATCCAAACTGCACTATGGCCAATGACTGATGCACTACGGTTCATTTTCTAATGGGTCTACCAGTACCGATGACATTCACTCTGGATGATAAATTAAAAGTTCAGTCATGATGAATCGTACCAAAACTGTAAAGTGGGTCAAGTGATGATGGATTCTGCAGTGAGCCATTTTCTGCCATTTTTCCCCAAGTCATGCACCAAAAGGATGCTTGGTAGCAGGTTCAAGGTGCACAGTCTGCCAGATGTGTCAGACAGGAAGTTTCTCCCAAGATGAAGATGATGATGGGAAAAACTCAGAGGCGTGACATTTCTTGGCCCAGACCCAGCTCTCCAGCACTCTCGTAGTCAGGTTCTGCTTTGGCAGCATCTGACCCCTCTGCTCCCAGCCCAGCCCTGTGATCATCATCTGAGCTGCTGGTCTTTAGGATGTGGATGGTTTCGTAGCCGGGATCTGTGCTGTCCAGGATTGGGTCTTGCCCTGGCTGGGGCTCGTCATGCTGGTTGTAGATATCTCGGACTGTGGCGTACAGGTCGCTGGAGGAAGAGGTCGGCACGAGACCTTTGACCTCTGCAATGCTGCTGTAGTCATGCTCTTTGTCTTCCTCGTTTACAACATTGTCACAGTTTGTTTTGTTGACTGTAGAGTACACTGCAGACTGAAGCACACATTGCTTATAAGAATTGCTCTTATTTAATAAAAATTTTTGTATAAAATTGTGATAAACATAACTACATTTAATGAGATAACAGGAATAACAGCATAATAACACTGATGCATCGGTGTCAAAGAGCCCTTCCAAGGTGTTCCCTCATAGTATACAATTTGATATTGTATGACTGTTTTACCAGTTCCCACTTATTCTTTTTTTTTTTTAATCTTCTTGGTGCCTAGAGCATAGGAATTCACAGAATAAAGTGCTGCTGTCTCGGGACTGGAAACCGCAGTTTGGGGAATAAGAGAGTTTAACACACACTTACCTCATTGTCTGACAGAATGTGGTTGTCAAACCCCAGTGCAGGAGACATAGGGGAGTGTAACTGGAAGAGAAAAGAACAAAAAGCTAGATTTAGATACTGCAGCCTGTGTTGAAAAGAAAATACTGAGCACAGAATCAGACATTGAAAACACTCCCAAAGGTACAAAGTGGGGTCTTACATCTAAACACAACTGTTAGGAGCATTTAAGGATGGTTGCACATTGTATTAGTAAGAATCAGGTGCCCTCCTCTTGATGTTGAAATATAAAGTGTTAATTTATAGATCTTAAACTGTTTTTCTTATCATCAACAGCAGCAAGCTGAAAGACAGATACAAAACAGAGCGGTTTCAAACTACTGAGGGACTGCAATTAGGATATACAGTATAATAGTTGCAGCTCTTATTGATTATCTGCATTACAAAAACATGCTGGAAAACTACTGATGCATTCTCAAAAACATAAACACCATAGAAAAATCGCCTGGTAACCAATCAATAAAATGAAGCTCTCCATTTCTGCTGTGATACATATGAAGCTAATATTGTATATAACTACACATTTATTAAGAAAATTGAGTGAAAGTCAATAAGCGGCGACAGAGAGTGTGATGTGTTTGTGCACAGCCTCTGTCCACTTTGCCTTATGATAAATGAGAATCATTAATTTACAAAGCTCCTCTGACGGCACCACCAAACACCTCAGGAGTCTAACAAGAACCTCAATAAGCCTGCTAGGACTGACTAAATGAGCATGAGAATTGTTTTAACACATCTCTAAGAGAAAAACATTGGTTTTTCTGTTCATTTCTGACTTGATGCAAAGAACACATTAACAAAGTCCTTGGCTGGAGGTACCTAGGTTAATTCATTTTGTGAATTTGTTGCGGCACAGTACTTGGTGCCTGTCAAGGGCACAATGCCAGACTAGCTTTACACTTAATGTATGTATCTATGAATGAACACCAGTGCACAGATATCATCCATCAAACCGCTTGTGCGTCCTGTTATCTACATGCAGATACATGTTTCACACTCAAAGTGTGTAAATCAATATAATTATTTTATAGATAATACAAGTTTGGAGACATGATTACTGTCATAGATTCAACATATACTCTGCTATTCAGAAGATATCATTGCTATTTTTCTCACATTATTTATTTATCTAATTAGCAGCCTCTTACAAATTAAAGTAGAATCTTCTCTCATCATATGTTCTGTAACAATTGATTGATGTATATTGATGTTTAATTAGAGTCTTGAAAACTCTGTGTTATGCAAATTAAAGTGATCAAGACATACTGTAACAGTATGGGCATGGGTGTTTCGTGTACAGATTGAGACATTACATTTGAGAGATTAATATTTAGCAGTGTTACAGTAATATGTGATATGTTTGTATGTGTGCATATGAGAGAGGATTATGGGAGTGTGTTTCCGTGTATGTAGGAGACAGAATGACATACAGGACGTAAGTTTGACAGTAAGCTGACTACAGCTGTCTCAGAAGATGGACAACACAGGTGTCAGTCATGCTGACGTGCATGTGAAGATACACACATACAGTATATCATTCATTATTGATAGTCCAACTTAGGTCGTCCCTGGTAGGCTAGTGGTTAAGGCGCAGCACTCTCGCCCCAGGTTCAAATCCAGGTTGCGTCAGGAAGGGCATCCGGTGTAAAACACATGCCAAATGTCAACATGCGAGTCGTCAGTGTGACGATTCGCTGTGGCGATCCCTAAACGGGGAAAGCCGAAAGCGACTTTCTTTCATTGATAGACCAACTTAGATTCTGTGTTCCCTGTCCTGTACATGTTCAAGTATATAAGCAACTCCAAACTGTAGCTATGCAAAATATATAAACCATTTTAAAACCACCAATTATAACCTATAACACACTTACATACACACTATGTACTCAAATCCTCTAACAACACGCAGCTCAACAGTGCTGACATGCCGAATTGTACAGTTTACCAGGACCTTGTCCCCACTTTATAGCCCAGTGGCTATAATGATGACACACAGTCATATGAGTGCAAATAAGTGTTACTGCTGTTTTAGACAGTTCGATAACTGTACAGGATCAGAGAAGCTGTGAATAAAAGGTCACAAAAAAGCTGTGTGAGGGTGTGTTTGTGTGTGTGTCTGCAGTGAAATAAACAAGAAACCTGGTGTATGTATGGAAAAATGTGTGTGTGTATAAGAAAGACTGCCTCTGTGTGAGTGTGCATGCAAAGAAGGCGGAAGAAAAATATAAGTCATATAAGAACAAATTAATTGCGATATTGAGGAGATGTAAGAAACAATATTACGCTAAATTATTAGAAGATAATATAAAAAACATGAGAGGTACTTTGAATATATTAAATAAATTGATTAGAAACCGTATCAGCATGAGTAACTACCCTCAATATTTTATGGATAATGATACACCGGTTAATAGATTGGAGGATGTAGTAGATAAGTTTAATGGGTTCTTTGTGAATGTTGATCCTGGTTTAGCAAGAAGCATTTGTACAGATGATACATCCGTCACTATAAATAATAATACAATCGAAAGGAACATGAGTTCTATGTTTTTGAAGCCCATAGTTGAAAAGGAAATTATAGAGATAGTGAATAAATGTGGTAACAAAACATCTAGTGATAGTGATGGTATCACTATGACAACTGTTAAATGGGTAATTGAGGGGATATGCAAACCATTAACCCATATTTTTAACACGTCGTTTCGACTTGGGCAGTTCCCCAATAATATGAAAATAGCAAAGGTTATTCCACTGTATAAATCTGGTGATAAGCACAACTTCACAAATTATAGACCGATTTCTCTGTTGTCACAATTTTCAAAAATTCTGGAAAAACTCTTTAATAACAGATTAGATACATTCATTGAAAAAATAAAATCCTCTCTGATTGCCAATACGGTTTTAGGTCGAACCGATCAACATCTTTGGCCATTACCGACCTGATAGAGGACATTACAAATGCTATGGATGAGAAGAAATACACGATGGG